AAGTTGAAGTTCCACATTCATGCTGACAGATACTTTAGCTGAAAGTTAAGTTGATCCTAATTAAAACTTTACTTCAGGTAGAATTCTAGCTTTAACTGTAATATTATCAAATATTGACCTTGTTAAAAGGAAGTGTAAATCTAACCTGGACTTAAGGTGAAACAGCTCCTTGGAGACAATTAGGAATATCAACTTGAAATGGATTTAACAGCAATTTCAGTGGAAAGACCATGGGAGAACGATGGCAGTAAGAAGGAAGATCTATTTTTAAGGAATATTGATTGGAATAAGATCATTGGAGCAGTGTTCACTGTGGGATTTTTTGCATATGTGTGTGTGTGTGTATATACATATATATATATATATACATATATATATACACACATATATATATATATATATAGACATTTAAAGTTTCTACAAAAAAAAGTCATCAAAGCCACACTGCTACAATTACCCCTTGAACAGTGGCAAATGGCCAACTTTTTAAATTGTCATTATATTGATAGTAGAACTTAATGGTTTCCTGATATACTTAGTACTTCAAAATGTGTTACTTTGTTTTGTTTTGAGAGGCAATTTAAGTTACTATAAATCTAAGTCACTATTTCTAAAGATGTCTGAAATAGTGTGATTTCTCAATTGTATTGATTTTTCTTTTTATAAGTGGGAATGTTTTTTGCTTTTAGATTAATTCCACCACTGCACTTCTTAACTGAAGCTGAGTAAAGCTGCTATGACTGGATTTCTACTGCATATAAAGAATCATTGCGTTGGTTTTCTCTGCCTGTTTACGAGATGGGTGTGCATGGGGGAGTTCTTTTTATCTTCTACTTTAAAACATGACTAAATACATGAAGATCTAATTATGCTTGATATACATCTTTCCCAGATCTCAAAGCTTTTGAAAGAAGACTTACTGAATACATTGCATGTTTGCAACCTGCTACAGGACGTTGGAGAAGTAAGTTTGGTGTTCCAAGGAATAAATAGGAGTCTGTCTTTCAAGCTTGTTAGATTTACCAGTGTTTATCCTTTATTTAAATTTGCCCAAAGAAAAATTTTTATTTATACTTGCTTTAAAATTTGTGGCATACATTCGAACACTGCAGCAAGTTCATACAGGATAATAAACTAATATTTTAGCCAGAGTTAGGAAAATGAGGTTAAAATTGAATTAGCTCAAGGCTGAATTATTCTGGAAATATCTAAAACAATAAATTGTGTTTGTTTCTGTTTTATTCAGTTTCTGTTATGTTACTGAAGTTTTTTTCTTCAAGACTCAGGCTTCCCAACTCTTGCTGTACTTACTTAAACGAAATATGATTAGGTGAGATAGTCCCTACAAAATTGAAGGTGAAAAAATTACGGCAGTGTGCCATAAAGGCAGCTTTGTTATGACAGGAAGGTTTGAAGGAGGGGGGAAGGCAAAAAATTCCATAGATATGCTGCCAGCTTTGGGATCAGTGGTCTGTGGTAGAAACACACAACTTTGGGGTTTTTGGTGGTTTTTTTTGTTTTGTTTTGTTTTTGAGACTCTGCTGAAGTTTTTCTATTCAAAGAATACAGACTTTTTCCAGAACACATAAAATAGCATCTCTTCTCCTGAGAGGTCAATTTTGAATGAAGAACTGAAAGAATGACTACTTAGAAAGCAAAACCAAACATCACTAGCACTACCTCAAACCCTCTTGTTTCAGAGCAATCAGATATTTGTATGTAGTTCTGTTGAGTTTGTGCACACCTACTTTAGGAATGCATTTGGCTTCCAAAACTGCTATTTTCTGTCAGTTATAATTTAAAAAAATGCTGGAAACTTTTAAACCTATTTAAATGAGGTTTGCATAACTAATATTGTATTCAGTGGCTCATGTTTTTTCCCAAATTGCTTGTTTCATAATTCACATAAAAGAAGGACTTTCTATTTTAATTATAATGAGGTGTGTGACCAATGTTAACTTTTCTTCCTGTTATCCTGAAAAGAAAGTATTTCTGGGATGTAGAGAAGAAGCTCTATGCTTTTGATTGAATTATTTCAACTTCCTTTTGAAAAGATAACTTTGGTTCTTTCAAAGGACCAGCATGTTTTTACTTGACAGAATTTAGATTTTCAGATGTACTTGTTCTGTCCGGGAACTCTGTACAGATTTCTTAGGGTTTCAAAAATTAGAAATTTCTTTGCATCTTTTCATTTCTGCTTTCCAATTAAGAGCTTTTCCTCTCTCAGAAGTGAGAAAAGAAATAAGTGTTTAAGAGTTGCTGCTGACAAATAAATGCATTTAAATTTGAGTGAGGTATACTGTTTGACTCTCATTCTTCTCTTCATCAGTGATTTTGATAGTGGTGTCAGTCTGCACAGCAACCGGGGCTTGGAACTGGTTAATAGACCCAGAGACACAAAAGGTAAGGTCAGCCTAATGCCAAATGTGCTGTGTTCCATAGCTTGGTGCTGCAGTCAGGTGGTGTATTGAAAACTGAAAGCCTGAACGCATTCTCATATGAAACTGGGAGGTGATTTTTAGGAAAGCTATCAAGCTGTCTGGAGTTGTTGTGGAATATGTCCTAGGACAGTGCCTGCCAAAACACTGTACCCTGAATGCTTATCTAAAGAATTGTTCACAAGTACTTGGAAATGGCTGGGAGCAGTATTTTATTTTTAGTTAAGGGCTCTAGACAGTGGCTTTGTGTGTTTTAGAAAGTATGCAGTTGAACTAACCTGATTTCTTTCCTAGGTATCATTTTTCACGTCACTTTGGAATCACCCATTCTTCACAATTAGCTGTATTACCCTAATAGGCTTGTTCTTTGCTGGAATACATAAAAGAGTGGTGGCACCATCAATGTATCCTTTGATAATGTTTGTCACATTAAAAGTGTAGCTCCTGCAGTTGTTGAAGCTTGTGTGCTAATTCTGCTTTTTTAGTTTTTGCATTCTGTGTGTACAAGTGTGGGTTGCTTTCCTTGACAGAATCCATGCAGTATAGCAGCCCGATGCCGAACTGTTTTGGCAGAATATAATATGTCCTGTGATGATGTAAGTGTTGCTGCTTCATTGCTTAAACCTTCTTTGTTAAAAGAAAAATGAGGAAATAATCCAAAGAGACACATAGTCTGTTTTTCTGAACAGCATTTGTATATACCTCAGCAAATTCTGTGTGTCTGTAAAACTGGAATGTGGAATACTTAACATCATTTTGTGTGTTGTATTAAACTCTCCCTGTAACATTGAAGCTTAATTGTTGGGTTCAACTTTCAGGGTTTAAACTTTATTTATTTTGTTTTCTGTCTTGCAGACTGGAAAATTAATTTTGAAACCTAGGCCTCATGTTCAATAAGGGCTGTCTTCCTTCATTTTTTTTCCACTGCCATGGAAACCAAAAATGACCTTTTTTAAGGTAGTATGACAGCAAAAAAATCAAATGGGACTGGTTGTCACTGCCTGGGAGTAAAAGTCTTAACACAGTTGACAGTGAAAGTGTGCAATATTACTTTCTTGAATATTTATCCAAATTCTTTGTTATCACATTATCAGTGCTTTTGCTACTTCTGATTACCTCTTTTTCAGTATTAGTGTCACTTTTTTACTTCAGCTAGAACAGAACATACAGGTGAAGTATGTTAATCGGCAATGAAGTTGAACTTGAAAACGAAACCTCATTTGTGTTACGTGTCTTTCTGAGCTGTTGTAAATAGCAGATCGATGCCAATGTTGAGGAAAAAAAGAAATATCTGGTGTATGGATTTTCTTGTTTTCATGAGGAGTATTGAAAGGAACGTTTGCCATTCTCCTGATGTTTTATTAGCACACTTCCTCATTACAGCCGTCCTTGTCTCCTGGTCACACTTTTGGAACTGGTTTAGAGGCTCACAGGAAGACTGACTGTGCTGGAGAAAACTGGTCTTACTGTTAAAGAACTTCGCAAATATATCAAGGATTACATTTGTCAAGTTGTGTATATAGTGCACCAGCCACTTTCCTTGTGGTCATACGTAGTTCCTTCTTTTATCTGGTTCAAAACACTTATTTTAAGATTTTAATTTTTTTAAAAATTGTCTTAAATATATGCTTGTATCTTCCCAATTGTAAGGTAGTACTGTATCTAAATCCACCGGACCATTCTGAGTGGATTTTTATGCTCTGATAGTCAGAATATGAAACTGGTATTGCAAATGTGTAACATCAGATTTGGTGAAGAAAATCTAAGGAGTGCCACAATAAAATAACAAAATTTGTTATTCAGAGTGTTAACAAGCAGGTGTGGATGATATATGCATAAAGTGTAACTTTTGAATAGCTAAAACTGTCAAATTTTAAGAGTTTAAGTTGTTCAAGGTGCCTTTTAAAATGTTTTGAACTCTTTAAATTGACTCTAACTGCAAAGCTCTTGCAACTTCAGTAACCCCTACTACAGGGTAGACTGGCTTTTAAAGGCAGCCTATTGATGTAACTTTGTCAGTTGAAACTTTAAGAATTGTCTTCTGGATTTTTTTTCCAGTAAGTCTTCTGCCCATCCATTATTTTTAACTGCTGTATATTTTGTAGGTAAATGTGTATAAAATAAAATCTTTGTATAAACAGGTGTTATCTTTTTTTGTACTGTACAAATACAGATCTCCACTGAACACAGAAGAACTTCAGCAAATTTATAGCTGCACTCTCTAACTTTCATACCGGACCAACATTTCCCGTATTTGATGTGGGTTTTATAATCTAAGATACTGACACCAGAGAGGAAACCCCTTCCAGGTTTCCATCCTCCAGGTCAATCCCGCCTCTGTAAGTGCCCTTAGAGGAAATTGTTTCTATTGATAATGTTCTTGTTTGAGCGCAGTAGGCGCGGTGTGCTCGCTCGGCGCGGGCTGCGGCGGTGCCGGTGTTGGGCCCAGCGCGGATGTCCGGCGGCCGCGGCAGGGCGGGGCGGGCTCGGCGCCTGCGCGGGGCCGCACACGTGGGCGCGCCGGCGCCGAGCGCAGCCATGGGCAAGAGCCGGGCGCGGCGGTTCCGCAGGGCGCCCGCAGCCCCCGCCGGCCCCGCGCTGCAGCGCGATGGCGAGCGCGGCTCCGAGGAGGAGGCGGCGGCGGAGCTGCTGGAGAAGGTGCGGGCGGGGGCGGGCGTGGCGAGAGCCCCGCTCCGGACCGGGGGAGCGGCGGGGGCTGCGGGGCCGGGCGCGGGGGGCGAGGCTGCGGGGCGAGGGCCCGGGCGCGGTCCCGCCCCCGGCGGGAAGGAGCCGAGCGGCCGCGCGGGGCCGCCCCTCCCTCCGCTCCGCTCCCGCGGCGTCGCGGCCGCGCGGCCCGGCGGGGCGGCACCGGCTCCGCCCGCGCTGCCATCGTGCGCGATGCGGCGGCGGGCCGGGGGACAGCGCCGTGCCCCTCGGCCCCGCGCCGGTGCCAGGCCGTTCTGGCGGGGCTTGCGTTCGGGCTCCCCGGCCGGAGACTTCTACTTGGCCAGAGCCAAGTGTCCAAGCGCCACATGTAAGGTATAAAGGATGGAAAATGCTGAGAGAGACTGGGTTTGGTCACTTGACTATGGCCACAACCATAGTCCTGGCTTAAGTATTGCAGGTAAAAATGGATGTAAATCTCCTTCTGCAGGTGTGACTTTAGAATCAGAAGAAAAAATCCCTTTTCCTTTAAGTAATTAAATCCCCTTTGCTCACTTCACCCAACCTAATTCATTGAACAGGTCACTGATTGATATTTTTCTGGACTAACCTGTTTAGGAAAGAGAGAATAAATAATGGCACAGGCGTGGATGAGCTGAGACATCTTTTTCAATAGAGACAGGATCTGATGTTACCACTCTTCTGTTCTGCTCTTCAGCAGATGTTTATCTGCTAGGTTTTCAACAAACTCCGTGGCCTTCCAGGATATGCACTTCTACTGTGTTATTATTTTTGCAATTTGTAATTCTTGTATCTCACCTAAAACTCTGTTATAGGACGTGTCAACATTGTCTTGGGGAATGTAGGGAAGACTTGTTTCTTGCTGTTATGCAAATACTTTTAATTTAAAGGCTATAACTTTTTTTTGTTTTATGTTTCTTCAGCTTTTCTTTATGGTGGCATGTGCTATGTTTGTTATACTTAATTGATGATATTTTTCCCCCCACTTCAGTGTTTTTAATGCATGGTAATTGAGGTCTCACCAGTGCCAGCTAGTGTCAAATCTGTGTCTGGACTGGCTGCCTTGTCAAATACCCAGAATAGCATTTATCTAGTCATAAAGTTAACACACATAACCCAGGCAAGGATTTATAAGCTTTGACAGAAGTTAAAAGTTCCTGCTTTCACTCAGGAGCAGCAAACGGGAGCCGCAGTGCCCCGATCAATCCCTTCACTCAGCAAAACCCTCTGGCTCCCTTTTCCCTCAGTGTGTGTGCTCTGTGTCTCCTCAGCTGCAGCATCCCAGTGCTGAGGTGAGGGAGTATGCCTGTGCCAGCATTTCGCAGCTGCTGCAGCAGGAGCAGGTCATCCCCGCCTTCGTGCAGCGGGACGTGGTGCGCTGCCTGGGGCCGCTGCTCATGGACCCCAGCCTGGCTGTGCGCGAAACGGCTGCAGGCGCTCTCAGGTGAGCACTCACTGCTGCTCAGCTTAATCAGCGATCCTGGCATGGGGGAAAGCTGGGGTTCTGCTGGTGACAGCTGTGGGCTGCAGTGCCAGCCTCTCTTGCTTTAATTCTGGTCTGAGGAACTATGCCTACATCAGCTGAGGTCTGTGAGAGAGGGGCTTTTCTTGCTCTGTGACACTTCAGTGTCAGGAGCAGGCTTTATGAAATGTATGGCTTTATGAGGAAATGGAGACTCGAGTGCAGTTTGGATGGCATTTTGTATCATGATGTTTTAGTACAGATAAGCTTTCTAATTCATGAATTGTGATGGTGTTCACAGGGGTCTTAGGATGAGGGAAGAGACGAGTATCTGACTCCATATTTCAGAAGGCTGATTTATTATCTTATGATATATATTATATTAAAATTATACTAAAAGAGTAGAAGAAAGAATTTCATCAGAAGGCCAGCTAAGAATAGAAAAAGAAGGAATGAATAACAAAGGCTTGTGTCTGAGCCATCTGACTGTGATTGGCCATTAATTAGAAACAACCACATGAGACCAATCACAGATGCACCTGTTGCATTCCACAGCAGCAGATAATCATTGTTTGCATTTTGTTCCTGAGGCCTCTCAGATTCTCAGGAGAAAAAATCCTAAGGAAAGGATTTTTCAGAAAATATGTCTGTGACAATGAATAAATGGACATAATGTTTTGTTTTTAACTCCAAAGCTATTCTCTTGTGTTAGTGAGGTAGAAGACTAAAGGTGCTGTTTAAGCAAATTGAGTTTAAAACAAAAGGTACCATGTAGGGGGATAGAATATAAGAAAATAAAGATAGTGCAGAAAGTAATCTTACCCCTAAGGAGTTGCAGCTGGGCCAATTAGCAAAGATTAGGAACAGGCCTGACTTTAACAGGCCACAGCTGTGGCCAATGAGAAGGAGAGTGCTATAAAAGAGTGGCATGGCTTGTTGAGAAGGGAGCTGGAGTTAGTTGGCTGCTTTGTGAAGAAGAAAGAGTCAGTGCTCTGAGGAGCTGCCCATGAGAGGCACAAAGAAGGTGTGAAAGTTATATGATAAGGAGACAACAGTATGGAACCCCTGTGATAAGGTGACAGCATAGCATAACTTTTAGAGAAGAATATCAAAGGTATGGGGTTTTTGAAGTATTCTTGGAAAGTATTGTATCTCATCCAAAGCATTACTTTTTTTTGTTTTCCCTAGAAATCTGAGTGCTTGTGGAGGATTTGATGTCTGTGATGACATGGTGACAGATGACATCATGACGCCCCTGGTGGCACTTCTGAAAGAGGTGTGCTTATTTTTATTTTATTTTAAACCTGGTCTAGCCGCTGAATTGTCCCGTATGCAAACACCGTTCTATTTCCGTAGCTGTTAATACAATAAGGTACTTGAAAGATCTTTTGAAAGAATGTTTTGATAGGTTTAGTGATACGAAAGTTATTCCAGAGATTTCTAACCCCTGCCTTCTGGCTCCTGGCCAGCTAACCTGTGTCCATAGTGAGGTTTGCTGCCTAGGGTGATTTTTGAGTGAAAGGTCTGGAGATTTGGGTCTGTAATGTCAGTTAAGATAAGTTTATTCTGTCAGTGAGAATCAAGGTCCTTCATTTATGTTGCAGCTTTATTCCAGTGATGTTATTTTGGTGAGCAATTTTGTCTCAATGGATGTAGAGCTGGGTAGTTAGTGGAGAATAACATGTGCTGAATTTGTATTCTTTGTTTGGTCCAGGTGTTGCACTGCAGTTTGATATTGCATTGATTTCTCTTACCTGCTGTCTTTGTATGAGCAACCTTGAGCAATGTCATCATTTTCTGTATGTTTCTTCCCCTTTTTAAAATATGAGTAATAGCATTACTATAGAGCATAGTAAGGTATTAGCTGAGTTAATCTTTGTGGAGAAATAACTGTTGATAGCTCCATACAGACTAATAGCAAGAAACAGTACTTCAGGTTGTAAAATTCCCAAGTATTTTTTTTATTTTTTTATAGAAAGTGCTTCTAAGGACTAACTGCAAAGCAAGTACTGTAAGAGTCTTTCTACAAGAGAAAAGCTATCAATGATTCAAGTTTTCATAAAGAAAGGAAGCTAGTCAGGTGTTGTAATACATGCAAGCTAGTCAGGTAATAAACACTGCATGAGAGGATCTCTCCACTCAGTGCTGATAACACTTTAAAGTTTTGCCTCTCTTTGTGGCTGATTATTTCCCAACCTTGCTTCTTTTGTTTGGTTGTAGTGCAGCACTGGACTGGATGCTAACCAGCTCTCTCCAAAGAAATGCAGAGGGGTGAACAAAAATTATATTGAAGACATAGCCAATGAGGCTATTAATTTGCTGTGGAATATATGGTAAGTACTGTGTAAACACTGGCATTTTAGCCAAATTAAATTGTTCCTGAAAAAGAGTGTGGTAATTGAGGCAGAAAAGAAATGGTTGCCTTGGCATGGGAAGTTGAATTCATTTGCTGTTTCTGATTGTTTCTCCTACCTTGCATCCCATCTGAAACAGAAGTTTATCTTCCAGTATAGATTACTTGTTTTAAGTGAAGGATTCCAGAAGTTGGTAATTAGTTTTAGATGAGTAACAAATTCTTTTTCTACTGGTTCTTCATCCTCAGTTCTGATCCTGTTTTCTGAACATGTTCTGTCCTAGTCTGTTTGGATTGTGGCTTCTTGCAGGGATTTCCTGTAGATCCATATCACAAAACAAGAAACAGAGAAAATGAAATTTTAATCAGTGGATCAGTGCTCTAGGAATGTGAGGAGTTTTTATACTACTTCCTTCCTCTGCAGGTCATCCCCAAAAATTAACATTAACTGTTTGGGGCAACTATCCCTTAGTTACTGAGACACTGATAAAAATGTACTTATTATGTGAGAAAATGTAAATTGTTCTATTAGTAGTTTACATTGGAAACACCAGGTGAAGGAAGAGAAATGGCAATACTATACAGAAATTACTGTAAACATTGAAGTGATACAAATCTGTTCCAAAACAAAGTTCTCCTTGAACTTTGTGTTGTTTCTCTTTATTTTTTCTCACATTGTACACTTTGCATAGAGGATTTTATTTAGCACTGTACAGTGCCTCAGTGGAACTGCCTCTGTGCCTGGCTGTGTGATGTGGCTGCTGGCTTGAGGCCTTATTTCCAAACTGGGATATTTATTTTTTGGGAATTGGAATCTAGAACAGTAGATAAACTCCTTGTTCAGCATCTTGCACAGAATACGTGACCCTTTGTAACTGACTCAGCAATGTTGTGTGTTCATATTTATTTTTGCTTTTTAGTCAGTGCTTGAGAGCAGGAAGTATGATTATTAAGTGTGATGTAAATCACTTCTGTATTTTGAACTTTGTGGTGATGAATGTGAACTGCTTGTTTCATTGCTAAGTTTGATTCTGATAAAATTAGGGCTGGCATAGATGCTGAGACATAATATTTTCAAAATTAAAGTTTTGAAGACCCTTGTAGCTAGTTGGCTCCTGTGCTTTTTTTAGTTTGAATTTCTCTTATATCAACATATACGTTTAAAAGAGAGTAGCTGTGAGTACTTGAAGAAGCACAAATCCCACTGTTAGGTAATGAAAGTAACTGCGTTTCTGAATGGTAAGAGCAGTCATTTTTGGAGTGAGTGGGTACTGACTGAGAGGCAGCAGCCTGCTCTGCTGGCAGTGCGTTTGTGGGTGAAGCCTCCTGTGGCTGCAGGAGGCCCTGGGCTGGCTGGCAGCCCACAGCTCTGAGCTGCCTTGCTCACTCCAGCAGGAGCTGTAGTTGGGCTCCCAGATAAACTCCAAACACTGAGGAAGCAGCTGGCACAAGCCAGCTTTCCTCAAAAGTGCCCAGGATTTTGCAGCCTTCTCTTTCAGCATCTCGTGCCGAGTTAATCATAACCTCAGTAATGAAGGACAAGTCTTTGACTAATGCATAATTCTCAGGTAGCTTTTAAAAACGTGAATAATAACAAGTATGAGGTCCTTAAGATGTTGCTACAGTACTTTTTTTTTCCTGGAAAAATGTTTGACTGATCTTTTCCATACATTAGTGAATGCAACAATACTGCCCTATACATATTCAATAAAGAAGGATGTCTGGAGGCTGTCTTACATTACATGAAGAAATTTGCCACAAATGTGGATCTGGCTATTTCAGTAGGTAAGTGGTAAAAAGAGAAGATAATGCTTTAAAGATACCTTTTTTTTAATTGTATGAATGTAACACTCATATTACATTCAATGCATAATGGACCTGCTTTAGCATTGCTTAAGTATTTAATGAGTGTAAGACTGTAAATTCATTTTTGAATAGCACATAAAAAGAAGTTGACGTCTGGTGTGCTTATTTTTAGTACAAAAGAGAATGGCTTATTGGTGGTTACATGGGAAGAAAAATTTTGTGGGAAGAGGGCTTTAAAGGCAGGCTATGTTTTTCATTTTTTTTTTCATGTTTTGGTAATGGAGGGAATAATTTGTTGAGCAGAGGAAATAGTCCTTCTAAAAAAACCCTAGACAATTCCAATCACTTTCAGTCTGGTTTTATCAGTATTATTGTTATTACAGTTTCATAATGGTCATACAGGTATGTGTGCTTCCAACATCTTTTTATGTTGTCCATTGTCAGTATATAATGGATAAATTTAATTTTGAGTAGCTGAAATTAATATAACCAATTCTATGGCTGATGTGGTATCATCCTCACCTGTTTTATGTATGGGTTTGCCACAGAATGTCTTTTAATCCAAAACACAGCTTGTGAAGCACAGTGTCAGACCATTACAACATGATGCTGCATGAATTTTTTTTCCTGTGTCAGCATTTCATTACTCCAGCTTTCAGGAGGATAATGCTTTCTCATTAGCAGAGCAAAAGCTACGACTGGGTTTGTTAATTATGTTTGCTCTTGTTGTTTGCTGCAGCAAACTGCTTGCAGGCAGTGACAGAAGATAATCCAGATCTTCTTTCTTCATTTAATGCTTCTGCACAGCAAATACTGGAAGCAGTGATGTTGAGTGCAGACAGCACCATGAAGCACATCCTTCTGAGAACACTGATAGCAGGTACAGTGCTCAGGGGGCTTCATTGCTTTGAGGTGGGGAGCCTGGCAGGTAAAGGAGGCTGGGAAGGACAGAAGGCTTAGTCTTCTCTGCTGTGGTCTGCACGTGTCATTGTCAAGGTGTACAATCAAGATGGTTTGTGAGGTTATATCTGCCTTTTGGAACTGCAAGTAGGTATTTGCAACTAGTTTTAAAATTGGCTTGAATGCTTGATTCTGAATTCAGCCCCTGCTCAATGTGATTGCCTATTTTAACTGCTCATTTAGTTTTTAACAGTTAAATGAGTCAATAATAAGTGGTACAGGGGTTGTCTTGATCTTACTAGCTGTAAATTTTTTTTTACCTCAAATTCTCTAACTTGAATTCTTCTTGTTACCTCAAATGGTGACCATGATGATTTTTGATACTGGGGTGTAATAAATTAATTTTGAGACTCCTTGGAAAATGCTTCCCGCATGTGGATTTGTTATCTCGGGTACAGAGTGACACCGAGGTCACTCCACATAAATATTCTGTAAATTTTTACATGCTGAAATTTACTTGAGCTTAGATGTGGGCATAACAATTATTACAGATAAGTGTAGTAAATGTTGTACAAAGAAAAAAAGAAATCTGTAGAGAAAAGACTTTAATATTTATAGTGAATATAAGCACTGAGTATTTTAAGTAGTGGAGGCTGTGTCCTTACAAAATGGCTATTAAAGAGCTGGGAATTGAGCACTTTAATAATTTATATGATTTGGTTACCTCATATTTAGGCACTATCTGGAATATAAAGGATACCATTCCACCAGGCAGCCTGGGAAGCACAGTTAATGCAATCCTGAAGATATTTTCAGAATCATTGGCAATAGATGCTGGTGAAACAATTATTCGTATGAATGAAGCTGAGAAAAACAGGTTAAAACTTGCTGTGGAACCAGAAACTGAGGAAAACATGAGTGATACTACAGAGAACTGTGTTTTGAGTGAAGATGATAACATGGAAGAAATACCAAAAGGAAAGTTCAGAACAGAAAATGATGTTTCAGATTTACTTCCAGTAAGTGTGGCTGGCTGGCTTTTGGACAACTTTAGTGCAAGTGGCATTCCTTGAGAATTAAATTTGTTCTGGAACACCCAACAGAAAGATGGTAGATAACACTGCTTGGGTTTGTGTTTTGGGGGTTTTTTCAAGTTTGGGTGTAGACTGAGAAGAGGAGATGGCTGGGACTGTATTTTTAACTGACAGCTTGGATACTTTAAATGGCACTTAAAAGTTGTTTTCCAAAATCAAATTTGGTTCATGTTTTTAATTTTTTAGTCTGATAAGTGGGAACTGAAAGAAGTGACAGCTTTACTGACGGCTCAGCAGACTGCTCTGGAGATCATTGTTAATATGTGCTGCAGTGAAGGTTTGTAGGAGTCTCGTTCATTGCAACTGTTGCGGTGTGTTTTGTTTCTGAGTAGGTCCCCTTTAGGTTGCTCATCTGGGTTTTCAAGAGCAAATGCCCATGGGCATATTGACCCTGATATCCTCATCTGGTGGCAAAGTAGGTTTTAATTTCTATTACTAATTTATTGTTTTTTCTTCATTTAAGTGATTTATGTTGCTTAATTTTTTTTTCTATGATCCTTAAGAACAAACAAAAAAAACACTCATGCCAGACAGATACTTCCTGAAGTGTTGCAGCAAAATCTTTGTTCAGTTAGAGTAAGGTCTGATGCAAGATGTGTGTGAATCTGATTGCAGGATGGGGGCATCAAATTTTTTAAAACAGATAAGTCTTTCAGCTTTGATTTAGTTTTGATACTACAAGTGTTGCAAAATTAGGAGTAGGGACAGCTTTTTCATGCAACTCTGGCAACAATGTAGATCTTGGCTTCCAGAGTCCTGCCTTTATGAGCCTGAGGAGGAGGAGAAAGAGGCTGTAATTTGGAGGGGAGTAGGCTATTGATATTCTGTATCTTTTATGAACTCTGAAACTCTGTTTTGATAGCTTTTCTTCTAATCTTCAAGAAAACAAATGAGAGATTATCAAATTCTATTTCATGAAGCCACCAAACAAATGAAACTAATCCCCTAAACCTTCCAAAACCTGGAAACTTTGCCTGTTATTGTAGTTTTAGCCTGATGCAGGAGTAATTGTGTAGAAAGTAACTGAGTAAAATGTTCAGGTTCTTATAAAATCCACAGTAATACTCAGTTATTCACAATGGTAACTTTTTTTCCCCCTTACAACACAAGGAAATTCTGCACCTAGTATATGAAGCTCCTTTCATAACTGCATTTCTCATCTAATGAGCTGTAATTCATAAGCTTTCCCCTTTAATTGGAAAACCTCTTGTGGATAAGCTGCATATTCTGCCATTCACTCAGGGTAATGTAAGATTGATTGTGTTGTATTTTGCTACAGTACTTTACCCATTCGTGGGCAGACAGTCTCTAGAAATTAGGATGAATCCAGAGGCAGCTGTTCATTTAATTTTCAAATTATTTGAGGACTAAAATAGCTTTAGCCATTATGCTGAGTTCATTAAAACACTCGGCTTGCAACAGAACTGAGAGAAGTAACCAGGCTGGTGAGGGATGTGTTGTACTGAGCACTGGGCAGTGTTGGAGGGAGCAGGGAGCTCCCCTTTGATGGGCACCTGGGCAAGGAGCCAAGAGGCTCCTGCACTGCTGTCCAGTCTGTAGTTCTGGATCACCAGTGCTAGGTAAGATGGGATTGCTGCTCGAAATGCCTCTGTGTTTCCCAGAACATTAGAAGAAACCTGACCATAGTTATGGGCCAGAGTTCTAGACCCCAGTTCCTGCTCTGCCCTGGTCACTTGCTGTCAACTTATGACAGCTGCTGTCTTTGTTATTGCTGAATTACATTGTAAGCTTGTATTGTTAACAATTAGTTTTCAAGGGATGTGTTTTGCTTTCTTTGTTTTTTAAAGGTGCAAAAGGAATTTTTTAGAAGAGGCAAGAGACTGAAAGCAGGATGTCTTGCTTTGTTTTCATGTTTTAGGCTATTAACACCAGCAAGTTATGGCTGTAGAATTAATTGGATATTACCATAAGATGCCTGTGTGGTCAAGTTGCCACACCTTGACGTCTTTACACACCTTTGCATCTGATAAACCATAACCATCACCTCCAAATAAATTCTTTAATTTGCACAGTACAAGTGAAATGCATTCATTTGGATCTTTCTTGCTGTATTTTTAGTGAATTTACCTTTGGCCCCAGAAATGCATGGCTGTTCCTGTAGTTGCTACAGGACCTGCATCTCATGAGAATCTGTGTTGTCAAGCAAAATTACTTGGGGGTGAATGTATAGGTGGTTTTTTTGTCACAATAGTTAAATATCCTGACCTATGTACACAGAGCTTTCATCTGTTGGAAAGGAGGATCAGTCCAACCTGTAGACTTAGGACTTGGGTAAACACTAGTTAAAATGTAACCAGATTTAAAGAAACTTCAGCTAAATGAGTGTGAACTCTGTGGATGTAGATAGACGAGTTCAAATATAAATGAGGGTGATTTTAGTTTGTGCTTGTCAGCCAAAGTCCCCCTTCAGCTGTGGACAGATTATTCATACAGCAGCCTGTTGGTAATAGAACTTCTACTCCTCTCACCATACCTGCCCTTAAAGATCTGCTGGTAAAATAAGTCATGTAAGTAGCCTCGTTCAGGTTTAAGATTATAAACCAATTTAATTTATGTGAAATGTGTTGCTTGAAATAACTATCAGAGATTATTTGGCTTTCTTTGCTATCATCATTTTGTTTCAACTGACCTTGCTGTGGAGACAGTAACATATTCATCGAGCCCAGTTACTGCCCAGGCAGAGGACATCTGTCTGTGGCTTCAGTATTGCCAGAGGAAACAATTGCCTTCAACTGACTGCAGTTAGTAAACAAGTTAAGTTAAACTGGTGTATTTGCATGCTTGAATCAACCTCAGAAAATGAAGTGGTACAATCCAAGTTAAAATCTTAATGAAATGTTTCTTCTATGCCTTTTTTGATATTTTTAAACAACCCATTGTTAATATCAGTGATTAACATGCCCACATGTGAAGAACCTCTCTCATAAGAATATTTGTGTCTCAGTGAGTGTAAAATATTTTAAATAAGATATTTAGAACTGTTGCTTAATGGCACTTGGTTTGTAAGGAGCTTGTTAGAGTCCAAGAACTTAAAGATTCCTAAACCAAGGAGGAGCCAGTTTCAGTTGGGAAATGGGATACCTGTTGCATGAGGGCTGTTACATTTACAGATCTGTTTTGTGTTCTCAGATCCCTCTGATGATGAGTGGGAAGAACTCTCCAGCAGTGATGAGAGTGACTTGTTCATGGAAAACTCATACAATGAGGGGAGTGGGCTGCTGCTGTCACCCCTGTGCCTCTCTGATGAAGTTAACTCAGCATTTCTGAACAACCTCATTCCAAAGAAGGTAATTGTCGTCTGTGTTATTTCTAGCACATGTTACAGTCTTTCCCTTGTTCCTGCTTTGTATCCCAGGTTAGGCAAGCAAATTACTCCAATCCACCTGGAGAAGGGAGTATTTTTTTAAGTGAGTTTGGCCTCACATTTTTGGCCGAGAGATGGTGCATCATTGCATGACCTAAATAATTTGCTCATGTAAGTGAGAATAGAAGGGTCATGTGTTTCAGAAATCTGGTAGGTCTTTTTAAAAATTTTTCCTGCCCCAAAATACAAAGATTTTTATTCCTTGATTTGGACATGAAAAAGATCACCCACAGAAAGAAAGGAAACTTGGCTGAAGCGTGACAGCCAGATTTCTGTATTAGCTAAATGAGGTGGAAGTAGCATTAATGAATGGCAACAGTCAGCAATGAAAAAGTGCAAGTTCCTCTCCCCCTGTTTTATACAAAGTGTCTGAAATACAGTACTTGGCACTGACAGGAAATCAGATGTTTTTGTTTCAGAGTTGTTTTGCTCATTTTTATTTGGGGTTGTAAAGGTGAAGTTTGTTATTTGAATCAGTCACTGTGTTAGCTCAGCAGCATTGTAGAATTCTGAGCTAAGACATCAAGGTGTGAGATGAAAACTTTGAAGGCTTTTTGTACTTAATAGCCAGAGTTTCATGGCATGGCCTTCCAGACTTGCAGCTATCTGAAAATCCTGTAGCAGAATCTATAAGAAGAAAGAGCTAAAGAAAGAATAGCAGAGACCTAGAAAATCACCTGTTGTTAGTACAGTTCAACACTTTAAATACTCTATGCTAAACTCAGTGCATAATTGCAACATTTAAGTGATAGAGGAAAATTCTGGCATTTTTAGCAGCAAGATATTTGCTATCTGGAAAACTTTGAAATATGTAGTTTGAAGTATCTGTTTGACATTAAGCTAAAATTTCAGTCTTCCCTCTGAACACACTATAAAAAAAATGAAAAAAGAGCTTTATTGCTAAACCTTTCTTTTTCCCCTCCTCAGATTCTTGAAAAAACTGCTTTTCCGAACAGTGTTGCTGTAGACATCTGTATGCACAATCCATCTTGGAAACCATTAATTAAAAAGTAGGCATTTCGTTGTCTCTCTTATTATTTTTCATGTATATTCAGTTGTTTTAGAACTCTTAAAAGAATTGTCCATCTTTGGGCTGCTCTTGAGATCTGGAAACTGGTAGATCTGATAGATGATTTTGAATAGAGATAAAAATGTTTTTGTGAACTTCATACACCATCACAGCCTTATTAAATTCAAGATTCCTCTTTATATTTCAACAGGTGTGTTCAAAAATACCTGCTCAGTGTGTTTTTTGTCTGTTTCAGACTGAATGCAGTGCAGTGTAGAGCTTTAACGTGTCTTCAGAGCATTTTGTTGGTGTCAGATGTGGATTGTCTCGGGGGAGCTTCAGCACTTCAGTCCCTTGCACAGCATCTCTCACAACTCATCTTTTCTAAAACAGGTAAGATGTTTGGTAAAGGGGAATTGCTGACCCCCCCTTGCTGATCATCTAGATAGAAGGTAGCCATGTTCCAATGCCAGTTATTACTAACTTTATCCCTCTGGTCCTGCAAGATAAGGATACTGAATGTTGGCTATGTACTGACAAGACAGTGTATCCTGTTGGGATGTGTTTATCCAAACTGCACCCTGAGCAGGTCTGCTTGTAGTGCAAGAACCTGCTTCATGTTTGGGTCTGCACAGAAAGTCTCTGAGTGGATTAAGACTGCCTTGTTGACCAGAACTGTTTGCTGGATCATATTTGTGGTAATAACAGTTTTTCAGCCATCAGACAAGCATGAAGAAGATGGGACATTTTCTTTTTAAATGCCCTAACTAGCCTAAGGAGATGTGAAAACAATACATGTCTAGCACAGTCTTTCACATGATCTTTCCTAGTAATCTTAACAAATTATGGCAAAAGCAATTGGTGCAAAAATCTCAAGAATGTCCATGCTTATTACAGCAGAAAAGAGAGCAGCCACCTTGTCCCCAGGACATGCTTTATGCTTATGATGGCTTAGCTTTATTGGAATTATATTTGTAGTAAGAAAGTGTGCAAAGTTTTTACGACTAAGTGTTAAAGCTGCTCAGCTCCCTGTTCTGGTTGTGAATTCAATTTCAACGGAGAAGGTAATAAATGTAATTCTTCTAAAAATACTATATTAGAATATATATATACATATATATATATATATATGTATATATATATATATAAGATCTGTATTTAGACAGTGGAGTTGGCTGCTCAGGGAGGCTGTGGAGTCACCATCCCTGGAGATGTTTAAGGACAGACTGGACGTGGCACTCACTACCAGGTTCTGGTCAGTCACAGGCTGGACTGATCTCAGAGGTCTTTCCCAGCCTCACAGATTCTGTGATACTTCCTGATGAACACTAAAATGTCTTCACTGTGATTCCTCCAGAGTGCATTATTTCATAGACATGCTGTGGAGGTCTCCCCACACACCTGCTGGTACAGTGTTACTGGATCGTGTCTACAGCAGGCAGCATTTCCAGCTGCTTTCTGGGATCATGTACATGAGAACAGCATCATTTCCATAATTATTTCCATAATCCTGTTAGATCATTTATGCTATGATCTCTCTGTTACTGACATGAGAGAAGCTGAACCAAGATTGGGGGAAAAAAAAAGGTTTAAGAAAAGCCCACCTGTTTCCAGGCTGAGGATGTGGGTCCCTGACAGGCTGTGTTCTTCAGACTATTCTGATAATCTTTGTTTTAAGGTCAGTGGTGATGGGTTTCCAAAAAATAAGAGAGATTCTTAGAGCCTGGAAAAGCTGCCAATTCTCCAGACTCAGAAAACATTTTCCCTAAGACAGTTCTGTTGAAGTCTGGCATATGTGTGGCTTTGTCATTTCTCATCTCTTAGAAGCTCAAGAAATTTGGTTTCCTTCCCTTCCTTCAAGTGTCTCTATTTGTAGCCATAGATGTAGCTTATGTAGTGCTCTGCTGTGGTGTATAAAATGACACTGCATTAGTGCTTGAAAATGCATCTGCCTGTAAAACACATTTTTTTCTCAATGTTTTTAAAGACATGTGATGAGTCTATGGGAACATTATTACTGAGTGCAGTGTGTGGAACACTAAAATGCAGAAATGAAAATATCTATGAAAACATATCCAAGGAAGTTCACATAAAATATGTCTCATACTTGAAGAGAGGACTTCCAAATTTTGGGTCTATATGTTATGCTTTGTTATAGAAAGCTCTCAGATGAAGCTGGAGAAGTTGCTATCTGAAGACAGCTAAGGATGCTAAAATTAATTAATTGGCATAGGCCCATTTTTTCATGTTTAAATGCTGTGTAATGAAAACTGCCAGATAGAGCTGATAACATACCAACATGTGGTTAGAAGGAATTCTGTGGTTTACAGAGTGAAAGAGAGGCATAAAGATCTGATTGTTTACATGAGAAGGGAGGAGTGCACATAAATCAGGAAGTTCTGCATCTGGAGTGGTCCAGAAAATAAACCCATTAGAGGAAAATGAAAAGCCTCAAGAAATGCAGAACACAGATTGGAGGTGATGGCTGCTACTGATGAGTTTGTAGTTAAACAAGAATAATGCAGTGTTTGAGTCATACATTCCTGGAATGTTATTAAACCACCGGAAAACATGCTCTTTATATGAACTGGAAAGAGTCCAGCGCTCTCTCTGGGTGTCTGAAAAGCTTGCTTAAGAAGGCAGAAGAAAGGAGGTGAAGTCTGCAGTCAGCTCCTGCAGTTTCCTCAGTTCCTGTATGTTCCTCCATGTGATGCCAGTCTTCAGCTGCTGTTCTGGTGACAGTGGCTGGCACTGTCCCTTAGGTGACACAGTGTCTCAGCCAGGGATGTGCCTGGAAAGGAGGCCCAGCTGTGTTCCAGCCTCAGTGCTGAATTCAAACAAATCACTGTGGTTGCACCTACAGAGACCAGTCTCTGAAAATCTAGCTTTTCCTGTTGTGGTGGTATCTGGAGGAACAATTAGGGATTCAGGAATTTGTATTTCTTTGCCTCCTGTGTCCCTCATATTACTGTTTAACTTCTGCTCTGGTTTCTATTCTTTGACAGAACTCCCTACAGACACAGAATTCCTGGAAGCTATAACTAGTGCTTTGAGGGCTCTCCTACAAACAATGGCATCAAAGAACATCTCCCAGGTAAAAGCTTTCAAACTCAAATGCTCTGGTAGGTTCAAATTCCTGGGAGATTAGACTGGAAAGTTTTTGAAACAAAACAATATAATTTTAGTTCAAAATTTAAACAGTTGTGAATACTGGAACAACAGATTAGTAGCATTAACTGTGTTTTTCATGGACTTTATGAGAATATTTTTTTATATATCTCCTCCTCAGCGTGTAAACAGATGAAAGATATTTCAAAACCAGAATAGCAATAAGCCACAGATATCTTTAGAAGATAGTTATAATGACAAATATTCAGAAATTTAGCACCTAGAAATGTGGCTTCTTTATTTCCTGATGTCACCTAGCTGGTGGTCCTTGAATGTCGGTTGGATATGAATTAGTGAGTTGAATACAGGAATGAAGCATAATGATTTATTATACAAGACACAGTACTAGATAGTCTGCTAGTCCTTTCTGGCCTTAAACTGAAAACTGAGCTTTTATGCTGTAAGTTGTAATGAGCTGGAAGCAGTTATTGAGCTAGGTAAATTTGTGAGAATCTCAGAACTTTTCCTTCAACTTCATCTCAGCCTTGGATATGTTCTGGAGGAACCAAGCTGAAAGGGAATTGAAAGTTCTTGGTAATTGCATTTTCAGAATTCTTCAAGTTTTCATGATCTAGGACTCTGTGAAGAATTTGCCTGTGTTCTGTAAAAGTACAATGTCTAAATGTCATATTTCAAAATTTCCATGAAAATGTAACTGTGTGTGTCTTCCTTCTTTGCCTCCTTTCCCCTGCTGACCAGTGCATGACTCCTGAGCAGCTGTTGGCTTTGTGTGAGGCTGGTATTCAAAGCAGCAATGCCAGTGTTAGAGTGAACGTGGTGAGCATCCTTGGAATTTCTGGCAGTGTCCTGGCAAAAGGACAAGATACAGCTGAAACACTGAAGGTGAAAAAGCAAACTTTGCATTGCAGGCTTAAAAGAATTTTGATGTTTCTTTCAGTTTTCTTTAGCATTGCTGGAAAAATCAATTCTTCTTTCTTATTACAGATGATTGGAAAATTTCTTCTTGAGGTTGCTATGAAGGAATCTTCTCTTGTGGTAGCAGGGGAAGCCTTGGATGCACTTTTTGATGTATTTGCAGATGGTGAAGAAGCAGAAAGGGCAGCGTTACAGATCAGGTTGCTTTCAACACTGAAGGAATTTCAGCCAGTGTTCAGAATGAGGGTAGGCATCAAGGGCAGCCTGCTCAGGGTGTCAGCACAAAATGTGGGTTAAAGGTTGAATTTTGGGCTCCTAGAAGATATAATTGATTTATAAGATGACAGAAAAAAAGTGTTCAATTTTCTGATACTCGACTTTAGAAAAAAGCAAATAGCTTAAAATTCATGGATGTGTCAAGGTAACAGTGCAGCACCTACATTGCAACATCTGCATTACACCATCAGTAATACTGATGCCCAAATCACTGTATTATTCTGAAACAGTTGTACAAAAATCCTGCAGATGTCTCTGGACGTGGAAGAAAAGTCATTTCTGAAGTTACATTGACATCTTTGGTTTTTAACTTGCAGTAGCAGTTGGATGTTTTTGTTCCATTCTTGGTTAATTAAAACAGTTAATTTATCCTGTATTTTCAAGAATAACAAGGCTGGCATTCTAAACTATGATTTTAGATACATCTTAGACTTAAACAGAGACTGACCTTCCACACATTGTTTCTTTGGTCAGATGCAGCCTGAGGAGTGACTTCCATAGTCCAAAAGCTAAGCACTGTACACACAAAGTACATACCTGATGGTGCTTCAGGTGTTGGGCTAAATGTGCAAGCTTTTCCATATAAAAAGCCACAGAAAAGAAGTGTATGTCTCAGATTTTTGGATGAAACAATGTGCCATTAGTCTAGCTTTAGGCAGCAGTGCATTATAGTAAATTGACTTGCAGAAATAATTGCTGAGCTCCACATGTGCACACAGAAACACCTTAGAGTTCTCATAGAACACCTATGCACAGAATTACAGTAAACTTGAGGAGATCTGACGGGAGAAACTCCTCCATCAGTAAACCATGTGTTCTTTTGATTTTACAGATACGAAAAGAAGGCAAAGGACAATATAGTACTGATCAGCTGTGTGTTCTTGACAATGTGAAGATGAATTTGAGAAGATTCATTGCATATCAGGAGACACTAGGGAAAACCCCAACTTGAAACATCGAGGAACTTTTAAGGTTTTCCTTATTGAGTAATGTTTTCAAAAAATATAACTGTTTTGAACTTCCAAACTTTACTGAGCAGAGCAGTTTTGCTTTGATGTTAATGCTACATTTTATAACATTCAGTATTTTTATACTTTTGGGTTGATGCAATATGAAAGACATATCAGCATAAAAGACCCTGTAGCATACCCTGAGGTTGTTGGAGTGGTAAGAAGGTGCTCTTCAGGTCCTGAGGTCTGTACATAGCACCACTGTCATTGCCTGGATATCTTCATTTACCCTGGCAGAAAACAACGCTTGTGTGAAAAAGTAATTCTGAAAATATTCTCAGTCATGTGACAGATTGGAAAAAAACCAAAAAGTAAAAGCTCAAGGTCTGTTTCAGGCAATGGGGCAGTGGGAGAATGTTCACATTTGCAATTTGCTCTTACCTGTTCCTAGAATTGCACAGGCACTTATGGCAGACATCCCAAAAGAAGTCTGTGACAAATGTGTAGATCCCAGTCAGCATTTGGATCTGTTATTTCATGAGGTTCATCAGGAGAAAATTTTCAGATTCATTTATGATAAATTCAGTATGATAGCTTTTTGCTGTGAAAATCAGTGTAAGCAGATCATACACTTAGACACAGCACCCTGTCTTTATTTTGATTGGTACTTCTGAAAATCAAGTCTCTTATTTCACAGTCTTCCTTTTAATTTTACATCAGTACAAGTTTGAATTCTGGGAAGTAGTAAACCTAACAAAAAGTATTTTTTATATTGAAGTATTACCTGAAATAAATTTATATTTGCTTAAAATACCTTTTGCAAATATTTGTGATAGAGATTTTTAAGCTGTAAAATACAGAAAATATTTTTTAAAAATATCATTGCTTCGGGCAAATTGTATGATATTTTCCGTATATCAAAAGGTTTGATTTTGTTTCTGTGAATGAGGTGTCCTCATACACATTTTTCAAGAAAAAAACCCCAGAACTAAACACAAAAGCATCTTGTTTTGCTGGTTTTTGAAATGGGAGGTTTTTTTCTCCTCTCTCAATGTGCTGCCTTAGCTCAGGCATCCAGTTTTTGGCAAATTTTTTCCCAGGTTAAAAGCATGGAACTTAAAAAGACCAAATTTGCTTGGTTTGTTAGATTTCAGTCTCTAAGAGTGGGAAATAAACTTGAGAACTGACTGGTAACTTGCAAATGCCTGAGTTTCTGAAACCCTGACAAGGTATTTCATTGGTTGCAAGAGGAAGGAAAGATGAGTTTAAGCAGCTGTACTGCCTGAAGTGCTGTTACTTGACAGGAGTCGTGAAATGTGTGATGTGATGCCTGCCACTCAAAGGAGTGAGAGGTGGCATTGGGAGGGCTCAAGGGCCAATGGGGCTGGACTAGAGAAAAGCAGAAGTCAAGAGCATGGGGCAGTTGAAAGGTTATTCAGGATTTGGCAAGGCAGGCAGTGAAGAGGTCTGCAGTGTAACAGCTGAGGAAAGGTGCATTATGGCATAATGCCCTGCAGTGTGTGGATTTTAATCCTGGGATTAGTTATACTTGCTGTACACTGAGGATAGTGTCCTGTTAGCCTGATGAAAGGTATTAGTATTTGTTTGGGGCACTTAAAGGACTTCCATGTGAAAAGTTCTGCTCTAATTTTTTGGGTACTACATTAAATTGCAAAGTTCTAGATTGGAAGGGATCTCTGGAGGTCTCTTAGTGTAGTCCTCTGATCAGAGCAGGGCTGACTTGGGAGATGGGTTGTGCTATGCCTTGAGCACCTCCCAGAATGGAAATTCTACAACACTGGACAGCCTTTCCCAGGGCTTAACTTCTCTCACTGGAAACACATTTTTTCCCTTTTCCCCTTGTGCCTTGTAGGACTTTCCCTTGCTGCAAAATGTGCCTCTTGTCCTTTGACTGCACACGACCCGGAAGAGCCTGGCTCCATCTCCTAACCCCCACTTGGCAGCTGAAAACAGCAATTGTATTTCCCTCTTCTCCAAGCCAAATAAACCCAGCTCTCCCAGCTGTTCCTTGTACACCCTCTCACCCTCCAGCCATCCTAGTGGCCTTCTGCTTGACCTGCTCTGCTGTGTCTTGTCCTGAGGCCCAAAACTGGACACACTACTCCAGATGTGATCTCCTAGGTGCTCAGTAGAGGCAAGTGATTGGTTTTCTTGTCCTGCTGGCCGTGCTTCTGCCAGCACAGCCTGTTATTTGTTAGCTGTTGTCACTGCAAGGGTGCCCTGCTGGCTTCAGCTTACTGTCCACCAGGACCCTTTGGCCCTTCTCTCCAAAGCTGTCCTTTGGTCATTCAGTAAAGAACACTGTCCCAAATGTAGGAATTTGCATTTTACAAGTGTAGCAGCCAGAATCTGTTTCCTGGGGATCATTAGAAAACCAAAGTATGTTATTTTTTGTTCTGGGTTTTTCTTTTATGTTGATGATGATGAAAAACATTTCATCTGCAAATACAAATCTGGAAGTTGCAGATAAATATACAGAAGATAAGGCATCCACTAGAAACATGGTTTTCTTAATATAATCAGTTAGATCCTTTTTTTTTTTTCTTTCAAGTGCAAAAGCAGACTGACATTTAGATCTTAAACTATTCTGGCAATAGGGAGGCACAGATTATTTTTTTGCTATGCACTGAGTAGCTGAATGTCTTGAAAAATATTTTCACAATTACATTGGTGCCTAGTACAAACCATATCACTTAAAGAGGAATATTAATCCATCTATGGAAGACAAAGCAAGTTATGAGTGATTTAAAGAAGCATCAAATCAGGGACTAAAACCAGATGAGATATGCTGGCACAAAAGAGCTGAGCTACAAGATTGGGGCTACAAAAGTTGTTCTGACACAACTAAGGAAAATCAAAGCAGCAGCAGAAGTAATGATAATATGCAAATTTAATGTTTTGGGGGCTCTTTGAACACTGGTTTATTTAATAGGTCTAGGGTAAGCTTCAGACAAAGACAAGATCCTTTACACCCTGCAGAGGGGAAGGTGGATCTTGATGGCAGAAATTGGATGGATGTAGACAGTGTGTAGCATAAGTAAATAGATACTAAATATATGTAAGTGATCTTCATCAGTTAATCTAATCACACAGATAAGACTGGTATCAAAACAGGTATCTGAATTGAGTTGCCTATTCTGGTCCCTAAGGCATCATCTGTCTGCTTCAGTTAAAAACCACACTCCTTGCAAAGTATGGATTGCTGCTGTGCTTGTGGCCCTGCCTGATGCTGAACACAGCAGACTGGCTCTGAGCTGAAATACCAAAGTAGGTGCTGAGCTTACCTTGCTCTGGGAACAAATAGAGGGTGAAGGAGGCTAACTCCCAGCTGTAGAAATTAAGAATTATCACTTGTGCAGTTTTATTCTTGCTTTGTATGAAAAGAAACAAGTGACAAGATTTAAATGTGTATTTGTTGTTTATACATCATGCCTTGACATTCAGAAGCAGAAGATGGCTGTATACCACAGTCAAGTCAATAGTTTAACTTTTTGGGGGTTATGGTGTGTGTTGAAGGTAATTTTCTGCACAGTATGGAGTTTTTGTTTTAAGATTGTCTTCCTAGAGAAACAGGAATAACTTCAACCAGTAGTACTTGGCTTGGTTTGATGTTTGCATTTTGAGAGACAAATACGAAAAAAAAATGAGAGCACAGTAAAATTACAAAATGAGAACTGTGTTGGAGAACTAATGAGTTTAAAATTAGTTTGCAGTTTAAATATTATAAATTAAATTCATATCTTGTGGAATATTAACATAAAACAACCAACCAAAAATGTCCATAAACTCAAGTTCTGTTTCCTTAGTGAGGGATTTTCAATAAAAACATTCCTGAGGATTCGATGGCAACATCTAGCCTTACATTTACTGTTGCAAATTCCAATTCAGGCAATGGTAGCAGTAATTGAAAATAATGTAATTGTTCCTTTCTGGCACAAGTGACTGGAGCACACAATCTATATATTGTTTGTTCTGGACAAGCTGTTAAGATATATAACTTTAGGATAATGGGCAAAATCTGAGGTCTCTGACAGACAACAAATGAAGGAACTTGAAGTTTTTCCACCAGGGCTGACACATAGTGAGCCTTTCTGTTTGAAGAAGCTTTTATTTGAGTGGTGGGGGTTTTTCAGTCTAATTTTCAAATAATTTTAAACTGTTATTTTTTTGTACTTTCTGGAAAAAAAAAGTTGAAGGCATTGAAGTAAATTCACTTAAATTTCATTTTGTTTCTGTATAATTTTTGTAAGTTTCTTCTCTCTGTGAGAGGCATTTTGTCAAACATACAGACGTAATTGGGTGACCACATAAAGCCTAATTTGAGGCTTGCACACATGAGCATATAGGAACATGCTTTTTTCTTTTGAATCTGGGTGTCAGGAGCTCCTGGCACTACTGTTACATTATGGGTTTTAATCAGGCTGTTTGGGAACTGCAGTAAGATCCCATGGTAATAATCTGTATGCTGTTGGATTGTGGCTGCTGTGTGTTCTCAGCACAGGGAGGTCCTGATGCAGCCCTGGCATTGTGAGGTGCTCACATAAATCCCTGCACCCTTCTGTAAGATGTGTTGGGCTTTCAGTAAAACTTCTGGTTTTATGTTCCTGCTGTGATAACAATCCCATTTAGAATTGTTTTCTCTCTCCTCTGACGTGATTTTTTTTCAACTTTTAAGGAATATTGCATTAGCCTCTTCAAATGGAGAGTGAAAAGCACTTCCAGAACTCCATGGAAGAATGGCTGATTCAGTTAGTAAATGCATGATGTTTCCAGATAACCCTTCCTGGGAAGTTCCCTTTCTAGTAAATAAAAGAGTTAAAATTCAAAGCAGTGATCAAAAAAAACTTGATCATATTAAAGTGTGGGTTTTGTTTTTTATGCCCCCCATGGCATACTTGCTAATCTAAAGCATTTGTATTACTACACCACCTGTATTGTCGTGGCTATATTTGCTTGGGACTAGGGTTGTTGCTGAGGAATCCTGTAAATTAATAAACTTCAGTCCTATGACAAAACTTGTTGACATTTATGTGCTATGAGTGTCGACTAAATCACAGATTTTTGCAGAATTAGCTTTATTAAAAAAGAAAAGGAAACAAATCAGTTATTTTTCCTGTTGCTGTTACCTTAAGGGTAATGTAAAATCATTTGACTTTGTTGCATTTTTAAAAAAGGTTTGTTAATGCAAACTTTTTTATTTGAACTTTTGATGTACAGGGTATATTGTTTAGACTCTTCTTGTTACCTTTTTCTGCTATGCTTATAATTATCAGAATAACTGAAGAATGTGGAGTGTGGAAAATAAGGTTATTCTTAGTGGTTATTTCCCAATTCCAAGATGTGTTCAAGTCCCACCAGTTTCCATTTGGCTTTCACTAGTAGCTTTAGGTGCAGGTCCTAATTCTCAAAGCAATTAAGTTTGTCAAGTTTAACCCCCAACTTTCACCGTCTTGCTGTGGTTCATTTTCTCTTGGGCTATGCAGATCAGACATGCTATGACATAACAGAGGAGTGCTGAGGACAGTATGTGCTGCTCTGGGATGGTGGGGAGAAGCCAGAACTTCAGACTTTGGCTGTCACCAGGAAATGGTGCTAAGTCTTCCTTGCAAACTGTTCACTTCGCGGAATGCTTGAAATTGGAATGCGACTTTTTAATTGTAAACCCTCCACCTCCAGCTTCCTAAAGAGAAATCATCTCCCAGGCAATTCTGCAAGTGGGGGAAGCACCAGGCCCTTCGTGCAAAACGCTGGAAACTTTGTAGCTGATATTAAAGATGTTTTAAAGCTGTAGTATGAAAACACTAAAAATAAAACCGAGTCTGACAAGAACTGGTACTACTCACTGTTGCTGTTTGGGGTACTGTGTATGTGATGTATTTTTCCATCTACAAAAAATGCTGCACCTAGGCTGCCTCTGCCTCTCCTGTGGTGCGGAATGAAAGGCAGGAAGACCCTGAAATACCCCTTCGCGTCCGCACAAGAGTTTTGGGGTGGGGAGGGCAGCGGCAGCTCTCGGTCTGCCCACATGGGAACGCTGCTCCGGGAGTGCCCGAGCCGCAGCCCGGCGCGCTGGCAGCGGCGGGGCCGGAGCCGCGGCCGCCCGCGGGGCCGGAACGAGCGCTCGGCCCTGGGAGCGCGGCTGTTGCCCCGTGGGGCGCGGGGCCGCTGCGCGCCGGCGGCGGCCGTGCCGGGACTGGAGCCGGCGGCCCCGGGCCCCGCTCCGCGGCCCGGCCCGGCCCGGGGGCAGCGCGGGGGCGCCGGGGGAGCGGCCGGGGCGCCGCCGCCCCCCGTGCTGCGCGCGGCCCGCGTGCCGGCGGCTCTCCCGGCCCGGCCCCGCCTCGCCGCGCTCGCCAGGAGGGGCGGGGGCTGTGGAGCGACGGCGGCAGCAGCGAGCAGGCAGGCGCGGAGCTGCCCTTCCATAGGAGCCGCCATTAGCGCTGGGACCCGCTGACAGGGTCTCGGCGGCGGCGGCCGGCGCGGCGCGGGGAGCGGATCAGCCGGGGTGGGTCCCCGTTTGATGGATCCCCGGATAGCCTGGTTCCAGCCAGAGCAGCTCGGCCCCTCGAACCGCCTGTGGATGCAGATCTGGGAGACCACGCAGGGGGTCCGCAACCTCTACTTCCAGCAGCAGCAGCAGCAGCAGGAGCAGCAGCAGCAACAGCAGCAGCAGCAGAGCGCCCCCGCCGCGGCCGGCCCGGCCTCCCCGCCCGGCATGTACCGCGCCCCCCGCGCCGACCCCCCGCCCGACTTCCTGCCGCTCGAGAGCGCCAACAACCCGCACAGCCGCGGCCACCGCCAGGCCTCGCCGCCCCCGGGGGCCGCCGCCTGGGCCCGGCCCGCGCGGGGGGCGCCGCCCGCCGCCGCCGCCGCCGCCAGCAACAAGAGGAAGCGCGACAACAAGGCCAGCACCTTCGGGCTCAACTACAGCCTGCTGCTGGGCCGCGCCCCCGCCCCGGCTGACGAGCCGGCCGCCCGCGCCCAGCCCGGCCTGGCCGAGCCGCTCTACACCGGCACCCCCTGGAAGAAGAGGAACTACAGCCAGGGAGTCGTGGGGTGAGCGTCCGCGGGGCGGGCCAGGGGGGCGCCGGACCCGACCGCGCTCGGCCTCCGGAGAAGAAGGAGGAGGAGGAGGCGGGGGCCGCGGTCCTTCCCCGCCCCGGGGCCGCACGCCGGGGCCGGGCAGCGGCCGCCGAGGGGCCGCTGGGCCGCGGCACCTGGGGCGCGGCGCGGGCCCGGCGGGCGGCGCAGGGAGCCGGGCCGGGTCCGCGGGGTTGGACAGGGGCGGCGGGCGGTGGGTGCCGGGCCGGCGCCGCCCGGCCGTGGTGACAGCTACGCCCCGCCGGTGCTCGAGCGGCCTGTGCGGGGCAGCCCCTGCTCCCAGCGTCCCGCCTGCCGGGGCGGCGGCTCCGCGGGGCCGGGGCCACACGCGTGCGGCGGCGGTGCCCGTGTGCATGCTGATGGGGCGGGCACGCCTATCCGCAGGGACCGGGGCCCCGCCGGCCCTCCGCTGTCACCGCCCGTGCACGTGTTACACGCTGCCGGCCGGTGCCGCCGGGCTCCTCGGACACGGCGTTCCGCTGTCAGCGCCGCTTCGCGCTCTGCTCGGCGTTGTCGCTGCTGTAGCGCCGGGTGCTGCCCTCGCTGCTCACGCACGTGCGGCGGCCACAGGCACAGGGCCAGGGCCAGGCACAGGCACAGGGCCGGAGGCAGGCACAGGGCTGGGGACAGACATAGGGACAGGCACAGGGTTGGGGGACAGGCACAGGGCTGGGACAGGCACAGCATCAGGGGACAGACACAGGCACAGGACCGGGACACAGGCACAGGGCTGGGGCACAAGCATAGGACCAGGGGATAGACACAGGCGCAGGGCCGGCCCGCCTGCCCTCTGCAGCGCTGTCAAGCTCACCTCGAACCCTTTGTGCTGCCTGCAGAACAAATGCGTGGTAGGGACTAGAACTTAAAAAAACAATAATCATCTGCTGGTGTCAAAAGAAAGCACACAGACAGGGTAATTTCCCGGGGAGTGTGTTTTCTGAGACCTGACTGAGAAGGTCTGCATGCAGGCAGGCACCTGCTCTCAGAAATAAACTTCCATGCATGTATAGTGTGCAGTGGTTTTTCATGTGGGGTTATTAGTGGTTGTCGTGGATCTCTGGCTATGGAATACATATGCTGATCTGAATATTTTGTCATTAGTGTTTTTGTGTTAGCTTAGGTCTCATCAGCTGGCATTGCATGAGACGGAGGGCAGGCAATCACCTATCTTCTGTTTACCTGAAAACTGGTTTGAGCCCTCCCCTTTTTTGAACACAGTGATGGCTTTTGATATGGGCGATGCCCTGGATAAAGGCCATTTGGTAACATCTGTGGATTTTTTTTTTTTTTGTAAAGTCCACGCTTTTCAAAACATAACCTTTGCCTTGAACCCTTCAGGGTCTGGATGACGGAGGTGTATGGTAAGAGTTGAAGGCCTGGCAGACCTCACTTTAGAAATCAGTGGTGATTTAGTTGCATGAGTTTTTGTGTGCTCAGCTTGTACCTAAGGGTCCTTCAGACCCCTCAGGCAGGAAAGCAACGGCCTCTTTGCCTTCTGAAATTGCTGTTCTGAAAAATTTGTCAAAATGACTATTCAAATTTGCTGATCATTTAGGAAGACTAGTTATTACCACCTCTGGCTACCTGTTTCCTTGCCAGCTCCTGTGTTACCTTTATGCTGGGCTTACAATAATTCATAAAATGACACGGCAGAAGTGTACTATTTTAAGCGTTTTAGTCACTGTACCTTGGAACATTCTGCAAATTTCTTCACACAACTTAAAAGTAATGTGTGTAGAACATACAAATTTATTTAAGTTAGTTTTTGGACTCTGGTTGTATTCTGCCTTGTAACTTATTTACTTGGAGGCTGAGGAACATTTTTAGAAGTGCTTTGCTCTCTCTCTGTCTTGTAAATTTTTTTCTGTATTGAAGATATAGGAAAAGGGTAAATTTCAACAAGAGAGTAATAGTAATAATGGGGTGAAAAAAGACTGAGCTTCAGCAAGAAATTAATCACAATAATAACAACAACTTTGCCAAAGTATTCAAAGTGTTGCTAGAGTTAAATTTTGGTGGAATCAGTTTCAAACTCCAAGTGGTAGGACGTTGTGGAGTTTTTTTTAACAGTATCAAGACATACTCCTATATCTTAGCCTGCCTGTGTATTGACTGTGTAGTTTGTGGCATATATTTACATGACGCTGAGCTTCTGTTTCAGCTATTTCCTTTATTCAAAGCAGAGCAAGGTGGAGTGTCTCTCAAAAACATCCCTTCATTGCTTTTCCTAAATTACTGAAGTTTCTTTTTTAAAGAGTTATAACAAGTGTTAGAGGCAGTTGGCTAACAATCTTGAATGAAAAATTGTGGAAATAATTTCTAAAAGGATCAGAAGCTTCCTAGGAAAGCCTAGAGAATGCCTAGGTCCTGTGAAGGTTGCAGTGTGACTGACTGGCTGCTGGCAGGACTGGGTGAAACCTCCTGGAGCTGAGGTGTGACCTGAGGTGCTGCCTTCTCTCCCACTGCAAGCTTCTCTTTAACAGCTGCCTGTTCTCAGTCTACATCTTGAGACGCTGGGCAGCAAGCATGGATAGAGAGGTTTGTAACCTAGAAAATGAGGTTGTTGCTGAAGTAAATATTTTAAATTCGTTGTTTTCAATGTAAATTTCCAAAATTGTGTTGTAGCAGTTAATGGAAAAAAAAAGATACCAGCATTGCTATGTTATCATTACTTGTGTGTTAACAGGTATCTTTTTGTTCCCTGATTGTTACTATGCAAATTGTGAGAAAGTAGTAATGGCTGTCAGTGCTTTTCCCTATGTATCATCCTGTAATTTTGTTAAATTGATCACTTCAAACTATGACTCTTTGGAATACAACAGAATTGTGGAACAGTCCCACCTTCATGAAGATGAGACCAGATTTGCTGGCAAACACAGTTGAAAGCTGACATGTGGCATTCACATTTCCAGTGCAAGGATGTCACTTGTGTCGATGGCTGTAAAAAAACAGCTCTGAATATGCAATTTTATTGATCAGCTGTCTGGAAAACCACTCCAATAATTTTTAGCAAGTTGAACAGATTTTGTAAATGCTTAACAGTGTGCAACTAGCTGTCTAAAGATTTAGGTAAGGTAAACATGTTGGAATAGAGATTTTGGTTAGAAGCTAAGTAGCTGTTCAGTTAAATCTCTTTTTTTTTTCTGCCAGGTTTGAGAAATATACTCTCTTAGCTCAGGCTATATACACATATAAAGAGATAGTCAAATAATTAAAAAATAACCCACAACAGTATTGGGTTTGGTTTCAAGATAGATTTTTTTCTGAAGTATGCACAATATTCCTAACATTTTCCTGTGCTGAAATACATTCAATACAAGGGAGTTTTTGCTCTCTTGGAGTTAATGGTGCTGTTGTGTACATTGTATTCTGGCTTATCTTTAGTGTTTTTCCTTAGCCTAAGTTCTCAGACTTGCAGTTCTATTAATAATGCAGGTGTTTGCATGACAGGTACTCTACTGTGTTGTGGCACTCTTAACATGGTGATTTGTGAAATATCTCTGTAAATCAGTTGTGTAGTGCTGCCTGCAGGTTGCTTTGCACCAGCTTCCATGTCTCCCATCCTCTGGGGACTGTCATCAGACAGCAGTTCTGAAAAGAGCAGATAATGCAGGATATGAATGAAAAGTTTCACAGCATGAGAATGATGTAACTGTTAACTTAATACATACCTTTAAAGAGTTAAATTGAGTTTGCCTTGGCAGGGTAGTTAGTAGCAAAACTCAAGGATGAAGGAGTATGTGTGGGTTGGGGGTTTTGGACAGGATTCTCTGTGTGTGTGTGTGTATCCCAAGGGCAGCAGTAAATAATGTTGGTAGTGTCACAATTAGAAGGAAAGAAAAAGTATTTGGGATACTGAAATGTCTATTTTACGGCTTTCACCAAGTTTAGGTTGAGCCTGGCTAAAATGTGAGAAAAGAACTGCTGAAACGAGAAACCTTAAGTGCAACAAAACCCAAAAATAAAGACTTGCACTTAAGTTTGGCCTGTTTATTGTAGGTTTTTGCAATTCTTGTGCCAAAGGACAGTTCCCAGGAAGGAGATGTGGATTTGGTACTCTGTAGGGAGCTGTTTTCACAGCAATCTGCAGCTGAAGGCAAGAGCTCAGTTAATGTGTGAGTTTAAGGAGATAAATTTGTGGTGTGCACTGCTGAGGAGAAACATTGATTAGATAGAAAACTGCATTTTGAAATACTGAATGCACTTTTTGATGGAAACTTTGCCGTGAAAGGGAGAGAATCCTGTGACCCCCACAGGAGGGGGTTGCACACAGACGTGCACACACCCCCACGCTGCTGAGGTGGTTGGCACAGACTTGAGCAGACTTCTGCTTGTTTAATAGAAGGGTTCTCAGCATGTTATCCAGGATTGCTGAGGGTACCATGAAATAAAACCATAACTACTTTAGGGAAGAAGATAGCTTAAAGCCATAAGTCTTTGCTACAGAAATTCCATTATGAGTTTTTCATGGGAAGTTTGTCAGCTTCTCAGATCTTTTAGTCTCATTTTTGAAAGAAGCAAAGTGCATTAAGGCAGACACAAACCCATTGTCCCAGGTGTGAGCTGACCAGAGGACATGGAACCATGTTAAGGCAGCTGTCTGCCTGTGATAACTTACCCTGCATGTCCCTGGCTCTGTTTGCTCAGGCCCTTGCCATGGGAGCACGATTTCCATGTGGGCTGGAGCACAGACAGAAAGAGCTGAGGGTGATGTGAGCAGAACAAGTCTGTGAACCTCCAGCAAAATGTAAAACCAGCTGGAATTCCTGACTTGGGGGAAATCCAATCATTTGTGTTGGTTTTCATCATATACTCTTAAGTGCTTAAATCAAATGGAGGGTTTTTGCCTGATTTACTGTTACATTATTTGACACAAAAGCTTAATGAAGGTGAAACAAACAAACAGACTTCTGGTGAAACAGCAAGGTGTGTGCTGTTAGAATAACAGTAATCCT